CTGAAGCCAAACAGCTTTGACAAACTGTTACCTCCACTGCTGATCCCAAACAGTGGGGTTGCCTAGTGGTTAAAGGTCACATAAACCCTAGGGGGTACAAATACATAAATCACTAACTGGCATCGTTATAAATGAAACCCCGTCATTAAAACTACTCATTTCGACCTTTAATTGACTTAAATCGACCTTTTGACAACAGTGCACAATTCTCACCCGCGAACGAAATTTCAACCAATCAGAGCGGCGGGCCTCTGTGACGTCATATGAGGAATACCTTTGAGGACCGATGCAGAATTCATCTACATTTTAGGGGGGTAAATTATCGTGTTTACAGGCTTGTATAAACCTGAAATCGTGACAATTGTTGTGGAAAATGAAAGCTATATGTTCTCACAATCTACTGTCATTTAATTTTGTCTCCTGCTTTGCCTAGTTTCCGAGTTACAACTTGTTTTCATAGACGATTCTGTCAAAATCGATTGGTGTCGTTAGGCCCTATTTGTATAATGACTGATCCAAATTGATCCCATTTCTGTGTTGTTTTACCTCGATATTTAATCATGTCATGTAAAAATCTGTTTGTATTCTCAAAACAGTGTCGGCCCATAAGTTTTCACATGCAATACAGCAATTAATACTCCCTCGTTGTAACCCGTGTTAGGTGGTATAAACCTACACATGTTATTTGTCATCATTCACTTGATGGTCAGTTAATGAATTTATAACAGGTATAATTAGTGGTAACACACTTAGATTACCCGACAAAGGTTCCCATTTGGCATTTCTTGTGTCTGGAGTAAATATTCAACATTATAAACATCGATCAAAGGATTAACCGATAACACGCTGATTGATTAATTACTTTTATCTTACACAGCGGAATTGTCAAAAGGTAGTGTTTATGTATGTAGATTTACTAATCTATACTGAATACACTCTGTCGTGTCGGTGTCTGCGTAAAAACAACGTCCTTCTTTCAAAGGATTAACCGGCAATACATTGATTGATTGCCCATTATTGGCTAACTAAATTACTGTTTTTAAAGAAAGGCGGACATTATGCAATTAGTTGCCAGGTGTGCTATCTTGGGTGACCAATGAGACTATACACCAATACCTGAAAAGATTTATCACTTTTTCGTATATTAAACTGTTAAAAGACACATCATTTGGAACAGTTTTGTGGATATTGGTGGATACATTCCTCAAACAAGGTAATGGCCTGATATTGTTCCTATAACTTTAATCTGTTTTAATTTTAATATTTGCATTTTGTTTTTATTCATTTGTCGTAGCATTCAACAGAATCATTGTTTTCGCCGTGAAGTGTAATGAGACAGACAACATGCACTAGGGTGTGTGTGCGAATTATGATTCACATTGGCAAACTATAAAATGTCTAGATATTACAGTTCTGTTATAAATTCACTATAAGTATCAGCAGATCGTCTGCTTTTTATTTAGTTTCAAAATGCATACAAGTGTGATAATAAACTAATTAGGATTATAAGACCAAATATAAAGACGCACATTGACTAGTATCTACATACTGGTGAGTGGACATTAACCATGGGAATGTAGCAAGAAATTTATCGCGCAGTATTGTGACTTCGACCCCCACCTCGCTTCCGTGGAAGAAATCGTTATGTTATAAGTTGTGTCATGCAAAATTCGTTTGGTTATGATTCCAATACATATTTAACAACGAGTAGAAAGTAGTCTTGATTTTCTAACTTGATGAAAACAAACTATAATCTCATTAATTCTAACAGATTTTTTTATTTTTAAAAATGGCGGCGCCCTGTCGGGAACATCCGCCAGTCTGAGGATAAATGGTATTTAGGTTTTGTTTTCACCGAGTTAAAAATCAAACTACTTTCTACTGGTAGTAAAATATGTATTTTATTGATGGCCAATAGGATTTTGCATGACATAGCGTATATCATAACAATTTCTCTCGTGGCAGCGAGGTGGGTGTCAATATAATACTACTTACAATATTATTGTTACTTCGACCACAACCTCACTTCCGAGGAAGAAATCGTTATGTTACAAGTTGTGTCATAGAAAATCTTTATGGTCATCAATCATATGCATATTTTACTACAACTAGTAAGTAGTTTTGATTCTTTAACTTCCGTGAAGCGATCTGAACACAAGTAAGATATCGTTTCAGGCTTCCACAACGCTCGCTTCGCACTCACAAACATAACCCATTTAGCACGAACTGCGGGGTCCGGTGGAAATCTGTGCATGGGGACACCATCGCCCGACCCCTAGGAGCAATTGACGGCAAAGCAACGATTCGGCATGTCGTCGTTGATGTCGAGAAATCATCAAAATGATGAGCGTGCTACACATTTTCTATACAACTAACTGAAAATCGTTCCTCATATGACGTCACTGCAGTGCTCTGGCGACAGAGTTACGTAACCTGTCTGTGGTTTCGTTGGCGGGCGAGAGGGAAGCAGGCGACTTTTTGGCCACTTTTAATCGCTCGGTATTAATTAACCACAAGTTTTTAAAGAATAAATTTGGTGTTCCGCATAAGACTAACCACAAATCTTTCATACGTAATGGTTAAAAGAGTAACAAAAAACAAAGTTTAGTGGTTCTTTAAAGCGTTCGCTCATCACACTTAAGACCTAGGTTTAATTCCCCACATGGGTACAATGAGTGAAGGCCATTTCTGGTGTCCCCCCGCCGTGATATTGCAAAAAAATCCAAAAAACCTAAACTCACTCACAATGCTGAGAATAAAGTCTAAATCAAATTGTTCAAGAATTCAGAAATTAAAGTTTTTAATGGAGTTCGAAATGTATCAACACTCATTAAAAGATGAGAGATTTTATGGGTGCTTGCCTAATAATGCATTGTGGTTTACTGAACACTCATCCTCGATAATCTCCAGGGTATACGTTACGATCACTCTCCACTATACCCTGGATGCATCCACGGCTTGGCCCGGTGATTTCATTACCTCCCTTTGCAGGCTTTTTATCCAATCAGGTGTCTAAGCTGTGAAGTTGAGCGAACCAATCACAACTCACTTTCGCTTCTTAAATTATCTAACCGTTTAAACTTGGCAACACAATTGATGCAGAGGTACTCTGAAAGAGGTAGGAGTTCTTTCATATATTTTTTTAAAATTTCAGATCTGTAAATTTGTCTGTATGATTTCCCCAAAAATCTGTGTGGCACTGCGAACAAACCTTCGCGACTGCGACCGCTATCTTTGTTGATACTGGCAAGCGCGGATGTAACGGCGGCTTAGCTGATTGGCTACTGTGAGAGCCAGCAAAGGGAGGTAATATAATTATCGTGGATGCATCCAGGGTATGGTGGAGAGTGATCGTAACGTATACCCTGGAGATTATCGAGGATGCTGAACACTATGAGGCCAACTATATTTATTATTTGTGGTTCTGGGGCGTAGCTACCATCATAAATCAGGCCCGGGTTTACACGTGATTCTTGCTAGAAAGGCTGAGCAAGCCCTCAATACTATTTAAGTATAAAGCTTTGCAGGCTATCGGGCTTACACGAAAAAAATGGCTTGCTACGCGCTGTGGTTGTGAATGAGATCTTGCTACAAAGTCATATACTTTATAAATGAACCTACGAGCCAACTTAACATCAAATGGTCGGTCCCTAAGGACCAGGTAAACCTCATATACGTGTGGACTCACACAGATGATATGACTTTACACTGCAGATAAACTGCAGCTATACTTTGATAGCTACAATTCACCATTTCAAAACTATAACAGTGTTAACAAATTTGAACGTTTTCGATACAATTACTTAGTGGTAAACTCATGCTTGTCGTAAGAGGGGACTAACAGATCGGGTGGTCAGTCTCTCTGACTTGGTTTACACATGTCATTGTAACCCAATTGCATAGATTGATGCTCATGCTGTTGATCACTGGATTGTCTGGTCCAGACTTGATTCTTTACAGATCGCCGCCATGTAGCTGGAACATTGCTGAGTGTGGCGCAAAACAAACCAGGCCAAAACTTAGTGGTATATATATTCCTGCAGACATCAGTAATTCCGATACACTACAGCTGCATGTAAATAACTGAATCTTGAAAAGTCACCATGAAAAATCCCACCAACCAGGCGACACATTCTTTCCATTCAGTTGTTACATCCACAGAAGTATCTATTCAGAATATGCCCCTGTTCTCCTGACTGTGAATGAGTGAGTTAAAATTTATGGTCACATCGGCAATATTTCAGCCATATCGTGAAGACAACAATTAATTTTATTCATAGTAATTAATGGTAAATTGTAAAAATCTGTCAACGAAGAACAGTAAAATAACTAGATTATCACAGATTCGAATTTGAAACTAGTAATTAAATCTCAAACAGTTTAACTATAGATGACAATACAAGGTAAAAAACAGGCTATATATTGCCAACAACTGAAGGTAGATCACAATACTAGGGACCATGGGGACTTACAGTACATTTGCTTCCTGCATGGACCCTAGCTGGATTTACACCATCCCTTCAGCTATTAGCAATTTTAGATAATCTAACCACAAATTAAACGAACATATATTCTACGATTAAAAAAGGGGAAAGTTTAAATTAACTTTGAATGTTTTGGGACTTATATATCCTCTCAGGAGGACTACTGTGAATGAGCACCTCAGAAGATGATGGTATTGGGTTGTGTACTCCCCTCCGTGCTCAGAAACAGTGAGTTAGTGAGTGAGTCATTATGGTTTTACACTGCTTTTAGCAATATTCCAGCAATATCACAGTGGGCGATACCAGATATGGGATTCACCCATGTGGGGAAACGAACCCAGGTCTTCCGCGTAACAAGCGAATGCTTTAACCACTAGTCTATCCCACCGCCCAAGCTCAGAATGAACAACCAACCGCACAATTATGCACTGACAGGATTAATAAGGTAGTGCATGGACTTGGTGCATCATAAACATGCAAAATATTATTTCCTTTATGAAACAAAATGAGCATACAAACATTGAGTTTAGTTTTTATTGTTTTACAGATCTAAATATATACATGCAGCAAAGAGGTTTGGGTGATCCTGGCACAGTCTGGCTGGGTAAGCTTATCAGCTCAGGGCCCCTTTCCAGAAAGCGAATGTGACTTTTCACAGGGAGCACTGCCCAGTCGAAACCCACCAAGAACCTTTTGGAGAGTATGTAGACTCCCCTTCTGCATTACCAAGAGTGTCAGAAGGGTAGTGCTCCTAGTGGAGAACCCGAGCACACTCTAGATCTACATGAAGAGATCATAAGGTACCAAACCTTGGGCACCAAGTACAATGGGGAGCCTGATGACAGTGTACTTGGGATGCAAGCGAGATATTTAAAGGCGAGGTCCACATATATGCAATGTTTTGTCCGAATTCTGTCAATCACATTACTGTCAAAAGGGACAGAAAATTCAATTACATAAGTAATTTCATTCGTTTCATCAAAAAGATATGGTCAGGTTTGTATACATCTGAGGCTGTATATGGGTCTATTCCAAAGAATTGTGTAATCCGTCACCTGTTCTGGTTGTACTATGGATGGACGTCTGAGTCAAAACCACTGGCATGGCCAAGACCCTAATGAAAAGAACGCCCTATATTTTTTATTTTACTATTACATTTCCTATTGTGTCTCTCCCTGAATCCGGGGCGGTGGGGTAGCCTAGTGATTAAAGCGTTGGCTCGTCACGCCGGAGACCCGGGTTCGATTCCCCACATGGGCACAATGTGTTAAGCCCATTTCTGGTGTCCCCCGCCGTGATATTGCTGGAATATTGCTAAAAGCGGCGTAAAACTAAACTCAGTCAGTCAGTCAGTCTCCCTGAATCCATGAAAGTATAAACACTGTGTTTAGAGCTGATGCAGTTTTAGACATGGGTCAGTTTAACAAAGTCCATCATTTTCTTCTGAAGAAGCAACGTATCCATACAGGTAATGTTTTGTCCAAGAAGCTGCGAACTCTAAAACAACAAATGTCCTGTAGTGTCTTTGGCATTGAGATTGTTCTCACAAAATTCATAAACTTTGGTTGTGACATTCCATGAACATCAGACATCTCTTCTAAATACTCATAATTTCTGAAAGTAAATCGGTAACCTGCTTTTATCAACAGTGTAATAATGTGAGGTGGCATTGAGCTGAGGGAGTGTTCAGTGAGTACTAGCTTGACATTCAGATCCACTGTGAGATAGCGAACCACCTGCAGAGGTGTCGCTGTAAATGCTTGAGTCTGTGCTGGTTCACCAAAACAAGTGGTTGCTTCTGGGTGGAACCCATAGGAATGTAACAGTTTCAACATTTCTAAACGACCCATCAGTGCTGCATGTTCAAACAAAACCAAATGCCACCTGTCCGTATCATCTGCCTGGGGTTGCAACTCTGCTTCACAATCTAGCAATACACGTGCTGCCTTCATGACGTTAATTTTTATGGCTTGAAGTAATTCATTGTACAGGTAGGAATTCTTCTCTTCTGTGTTATCAACTCTGGAAATTAGATACCTGCATATATCAGTCTCTCCTTCCACAGCAGCAAGCCATAGGGGAGTGAAACCACAGGGAAACTCCAAGTCTTTGTGGCAAGATTCCAAATATTCAATTAGAAACTGGACAACATTCAGTCTACCTCCATGAATAGCAAACCAGAGGGGAACACGGGGGTATTGATAAAAACTGCTACACTCATCAATTTCAAACGGCTGGAGGTTGTAAACCTGAGCATCGACATTGTATTCCGTAACTAATGCTCTTACAATATCCACATGGCCATAGAAAGCAGCACAGTGAATAGCAGAGTATAATTCCACACACCTTCCGATTTCAAATCTGCATGGATCCTCAAAGCCGAAGCCCATTGCTATCAAGGCACGCATGACATGAAGTTGACCATGGCTTGCTGCTGTAAACACTGGGGGAGTTTGTTTAACATATTCTTCACAGGGATCAATTTGTGATGTCTGAATAAAGTTTTGAACGGCAATAACATCACCAGTTTTAATGAGATACCTCAGATGCACCATGTTGTCATGTAGGACACTGTTGTCAGGATTAACATTACTGGATGCCATCAGGAATGTCAGTCTTGGTCTATTTCTGTGTGTTATTCATAGATATTTGTGCTGGATTATGTTGCTCTGTCGGTGAAGACCATATAGCGTTCCACAAGCTATTTTCCTCTTCCCAATATTTCCAAGATGTGTCACTTTTCCACAACCACAAGCTTTGTGTTTGCTCATAGGCCTCTCTTGAGAGAACCTGAAAATATCAATAATTGGCACATCACAATATGGTAGAGTAACATCAATTTCCAAGCATGCTAAATTTGATTTCTCTGCTATGACTTTCTTGTTCATGAATTTTGAAACTACTGATGATAATTAACAAGTGTTTGCAAGTACCCCTGAAAACAGTCCCTCACTGTCATTTCTAGTCATTTGTTGTCAGCTGCCAGCATGGATTTATAATCAGATACCATTAACGATACAATGCTTATGCTGGGCAGGGCACGATACAATACTTATCATGCTGGGCAGGGCACGATACAATACTTATCATGCTGGGCAGGGTACGATACAATACTTATCATGCTGGGCAGGGTACGATACAATACTTATCATGCTGGGCAGGGCACGATACAATACTTATCATGCTGGGCAGGGCACGATACAATACTTATCATGCTGGGCAGGGCATGATACAATACTTATCATGCTGGGCAGGGCACGATACAATACTTATCATGATGGGCAGGGCATGATACAATACTTATCATGCTGGGCAGGGCACGATACAATACTTATCATGCTGGGCAGGGCATGATACAATACTTATCATGCTGGGCAGGGCACGATACAATACTTATCATGCTGGGCAGGGCATGATACAATACTTATCATGCTGGGCAGGGCCGCGATACAATACTTATCATGCTGGGCAGGGCACGATACAATACTAATCATGCTGGGCAGGGCGCGATACAATACTTATCATGCTGGGCAGGGCACGATACAATACTTATCATGCTGGGCAGGGCAGCGCGATACAATACTTATCATGCTGGGCAGGGCATGATACAATACTTTATCATGCTGGGCAGGACATGATACAATACTTATCATGCTGGGCAGGACATGATACAATACTTATCATGCTGGGCAAGGGCATGATACAATACTTAACATGATGGGCAGGGCCGCGATACAATACTTATCATGCTGGGCAGGGCACGATACAATACTTATCATGCTGGGCAGGGGCACGATACAATACTTATCATGCTGGGCAGGGCACGATACAATACTTATCATGCTGGGCGGGGGGCCGCGATACAATACTTATCATGCTGGGCAGGGCGATACAATACTTATCATGCTGGGCAGGGCACGATACAATACTTATCATGCTGGGCAGGGCACGATACAATACTTATCATGCTGGGCAGGGCACGATACAATACTTATCATGCTGGGCAGGGCACGATACAATACTTATCATGCTGGGCAGGGCATGATACAATACTTATCATGCTGGGCGGGGGCACAATACAATACTTATCATGCTGGGCAGGGCACGATACAATACTTATCATGCTGGGCGGGGCACGATACAATACTTATCATGCTGGCCAGGGCCGCGATACAATACTTATCATGCTGGGCAGGGCGGGATACAATACTTATCATGCTTATCATGCTGGGCAGGGCACGATACAATACTTATCATGCTGGGCGGGGCCACGATACAATACTTATCATGCTGGGCAGGGCACGATACAATACTTATCATGCTGGGCGGGGCATGATACAATTCTTATCATGCTGGGCACGGCATGATATAATACTCTATCATGCTGGGCGGGGCCGCGATACAATACTTATCATGCTGGGCAGGGCATGATACAATACTTATCATGCTGGGCGGGGCATGATATAATACTTATCATGCTGGGCAGGGCCACGATACAATACTTATCATGCTGGGCGGGGCACGATACAATACTTATCATGCTGGGCAGGGCACGATACAATACTTATCATGCTGGGCAGGGGCATGATACAATACTTATCATGCTGGGCAGGGCCGCGATACAATAATTATCATGCTGGGCAGGGCGATACAATACTTATCATGCTGGGCGGGGCGCGATACAATACTTATCATGCTGGGCGGGGCATGCGATACAATACTTATCATGATGGGCGAAGGGTAATGATACAATACTTATCATGCTGGGCGGGGCAATGATACAATACTTATCATGATGGGCAGGGCATGATACAATACTTATCATGCTGGGCAGGGTAACGATACAATACTTATCATGATGGGCAGGGGCATGATACAATACTTATCATGCTGGGCACGGCATGACGTACAATACTTATCATGCTGGGCAGGGCATGATACAATACTTATCATGATGGGCAGGGGCATGATACAATACTTATCATGATGGGCAGGGCATGATACAATACTTATCATGATGGGCAGGGCACGATACAATACTTATCATGATGGTAAGGGCATGATACAATACTTATCATGATGGGCGGGGCATGATAATAATACTTATCATGATGGGCAGGGCGCGCGATACAATACTTATCATGATGGGCAGGATTAACGATATTAATATTTTATCATGCTGGGCAGGGAACACGATACAATACTTTATCATGCTGGGCAGGGCACGATACAATACTTATCATGCTTATCATGCTGGGCAGGGCACGATACAATACTTCATCATGCTGGGCAGGGCACGATACAATACTTATCATGCTGGGCAGGGCACGATACAATACTTATCATGCTGGGCAGGGCATGATACAATACTTATCATGCTGGGCAGGGCACGATACAATACTTATCATGCTGGGCAGGGCACGATACAATACTTATCATGCTGGGCAGGGCACGATACAATACCCTTATCATGCTGGGCAGGGCACGATACAATACTTATCATGCTGGGCAGGGCAACGATACAATACTTATCATGCTGGGCAGGGCACGATACAATAATTTATCATGCTGGGCAGGCACGATACAATACTTATCATGCTTATCATGCTGGGCAGGGCTAACGATACAATACTTATCATGCTGGGCAGGCACGATACAATACTTATCATGCTGGGCAGGGGCACTCGATACAATACTTATCATGCTGGGCAGGGCATGATACAATACTTATCATGCTGGGCAACGGCATGATATAATACTCTATCATGCTGGGCAGGCATGATCCATACAATACTTATCATGATGGGCGGGGCATGATACAATACTTATCATGCTGGGCGGGGCATGATATAATACTTATCATGCTGGGCAGGGCACACGATACAATACTTATCATGCTGGGCAGGGCACGATACAATACTTATCATGCTGGGCAGGGCACGATACAATACTTATCATGCTGGGCAGGGCATGATACAATACTTATCATGCTGGGCAGGGCATGATACAATACTTATCATGCTGGGCAGGGCATGATACAATACTTATCATGCTGGGCAGGGCACAATACAATACTTATCATGCTGGGCAGGGTACGAATACAATACTTATCATGATGGGCAGGGTCGCGATACAATACTTATCATGCTGGGCAGGGTAACGATACAATACTTATCATGATGGGCAGGGCATGATACAATACTTATCATGCTGGGCAGGGCACGATACAATACTTATCATGCTGGGCAGGGCATGATACAATACTTATCATGATGGGCAGGGCATGATACAATACTTATCATGATGGGCAGGGCATGATACAATACTTATCATGCTGGGCAGGGCATGATACAATACTTATCATGATGGGCAGGGCATGATACAATACTTATCAAGTTATCATGATAGTAAATGGGTAATGATATGTATATTTATGACAAATTGTGTTGAAACATTTTCACTATAGATATTTCAGAGCTGATTTAGAAGGAAAAACTAGCAGTAAACACATGTTTACAGATGTTATTTTTGTTGTGAACTGGAAATGTGAATTACAACACCGTTTTCAATATTTGACTGACAAGAACACAAGGGTCACTGAAAGAGAAGCATGTAATTTACTTAAGCAAGTGCACCTATCATTTTGTCTCAATACAGAAAAATTCTATTGTGTATTGTATAGTTATGGAGAGACATATCTCCTAATAGCCGCTTGATGATTAAAACCAGCAGGTTTTGGGACGTCAATATACCACTTACTACACTCATATCAGTTGTCTTTTACCACCAATACCTAGGTATTGAATTTTGTCACTTCGGAGCAAGGAAATAAGATTCCATAAGATACCAAAATTATATCAATACAAGTTGATTAAAGTTATAAATATCCGAAGCCTGATATATCTGATATCAGAAGACACGAGGGTGAGATTTTATTTATCATCCAAAATCATTCTTCATCAGTTGAGTAAAATAATGAATTTATCGAAAACACAAAACTGCCATAAGCTTATTGAGCAGTGATCTCCAGTGAGGTCATAACATTGTGATGTCATCAGCTTTATGACATCTTAGCATGGTGCAAAACACATGTATACCGAGGCATTTACTTATGTCAGGGTTTCATTACTGCTAAGTAAAACCTTGGTATTTTACAATTATATTAGCAATAAATGAAAACCTAATACCTTAGAGTTGTTACAGTATCTTGCAATGATTACTCCGTGCAATGACAATGGACAATAAGCGCTCCCTGAGATGCGCATGCGCAGTGCATAACCATGTGCGTTCGAGCAGACGCCATCGTTGGAATGTAACGTGTTTGTTTATATTAAACCTATGAAACTTGACACCTTGTCATTTCATAACATGGTGTCAGAAGTGCAACACCGTAGGAAACCACGCCGATGTCCCAAACGAACTTTGTGAGTGATTCTGTGTCATAAACTGTGATAATTCGCTGGTTATCTCTGGATTCAAGGCGCCTGAGAATTTCAATTTCAAGCGACCTCAGGAATGGCCCGAATGGAAACAACTTTTTGTCGTTTTTTCACTTTGTCTCAATACAAGGATGAAGATGGCGAATTACAAGTAAGTTCACTCATCTATGCGATGGGTAGAGAAGCAGAACATATTATGAAATCTTTTCATTTCCCTAATGAAGATAAAAAGAAAGACTTTGACTTTGTTTTGACGTTGTTTGATAATCACTTCATCCCCAAGAGAAATGTGATTCATTAAAGGGCATGTTTTAACAAGAGATCACAACAACCAGGTGAATCTGTTGAAGCATTTATTCGTCACTTATATGAACTGGCAGAATAGCGATTTTGGGGAGTGAATTTGGGACCGAATTGTCACAGGAATCCTAGACCAGGATCTTGCACAAAAATTGCAAATGGAGGCAAAACTGGATCTTGAAACAGCCATCCAGATGGCTAGAAACTCTGAAATGATAAAGAGTCAGGGTGCGGACAGCAGTGCCACTAACTTAGATGAAGTTAGAGGGGGCCAAGCCAAACGCCATAACAAGTCTGGTTACCATAGCAACAAGGGACACAGACAAGGTGGATCACGGAGCAGTGTGTAACATGTCCAGCAGTGCGGACATAACAACTCACCACCAAATTGCGGCAAGTGTGGTCACCCACAGCACACAGGCGAGCCAAATGCCCAGCCAGATTCAGCGATGTCTAACATGTCACATGATAGGACATTTTCAACATGTGTCGCGACAAAAGATGTGTGACTGACAAAAAGACTGTGAAACACAAGACTGTTATTTCCTAGTATCTGTCACGTGTGAGGAGACAGACGCTGGTACATCAACCTAGCGCATCGGAGGAAAGCCGGTCACATTCAAGATTGATTCGGGAGCAGACACATCAGTGATCTACGAGGACACATACAATAGTTTTCCACATAAGACAAAACTGGAAAACAGTCCAAGACAACTCGATAGCCCAGGGGTGAAACTGGCATAGCTTGGTGAATTTGTCGCTTACACATCCCTAAATGGGGAGGAATAGAGTTTTCGTGTGAGCGTTGTAAGAGGACAGGGGAGTAATCTCCTGAGTAGGGGGGTCTCCTCCGCAATGGGACTGGTTACCTACAACAATATCTCGCACGTCACAGAGACACATGCCGATGTTTTCGGTGAGATGGGACTACTGCAATGCGAGCCCGTCAAGATTACTTTGAAGAAGAATGCAGTTCCCTACAGTCTGGCCACAGCTAGAAGAGTACCGTTCCCACTCCTAAAGAAGGTTGAAGAGGAGTTGAGGCGTATGGCAAAAGACGGCATCATCGAGGAAGTGACACAGCCCACAGAGTGGTGCGCACCGATGGTACCAGTTGTGAAATGCAACAAGAAGATACGAATATGCGTAGACCTGAAGAAGTTGAATGTCGCTGTCAAACGTGAAAGGTACATTCTCCCAACTTTTGAAGACGTCATTCGAAACTGAACGGCGCACGTTTCTTCTCTAAACTGGATGCATCAAGCGGATTTCACCAAATTCCATTGGATCCAGACAGCAGTCTCTTAACGACCTTCATAACTCCCTTCGGTCGTTTCTGCTTTAAACGAGTTCCCTTCGGAATTACATCCGCTCCAGAGATCTTTCAGAGGAAGATGTGCAAAGTACTCAAAGGGTTGGAGGGCTCAGAAGCCATTATGGACGATGTCTTGATCTGGGGTCGAACTGTCGAGGAGCACGACAAGAGGTTGAACAGTGTTCTCGAACGAGTCAAACGCTCAGGTTTGAAGTTGAACCGGGAGAAGTGTGAAATCCGGAAAACGTCCATCAGCTACTTTGGTCATGTGATCAGTGAAAATGGAGTCCAGCCTGACCCAGGGAAGACTCAAGCTATCAGAGACCTACCAGCTCCAACAAATATCACTGAATTGAGGCGAGCTATGGGCATGATCAACTATCTGGGACGATTTTTGCCAGACCTTTCATCAGTTCTCCGTCCAATGAGTGACCTACTCAAATCTGATGCAGTATGGACATGGGGTCCTGCCCAAGATGCAGCTTTCTTGAGAGTCAAAGACATGCTGACAAGTCCAGCTGTTCTACAGTTCTACGACCTGGAGAAACCCACAGTTGTGAGTGCCGATGCAAGCAGCTATGGCCTAGGAGCTACACTCCTACAACAGCACGGCGACCAGTTGTTGCCAGTAGCATTCTGCTCACGGACCTTAACTCCTGCTGAGACCAGGTACTCTCAGATCGAGAAGGAATGCCTAGCGAGTGTATGGGCTTGCGAGAAGTTTGCAAGATACCTGTATGGACTGGAGTCATTCAGACTACTGACAGACCATAAGCCGCTAGTACCCTTGATCAACAAGTCAGATCTGGATAGAGCACCAATCAGATGCACTCGTCTCCTTATGCGTCTGATGAGATTCAACCCGGTGGCAGAACACGTAGCAGGGAAGAACATGGTGGTAGCGGACATGCTCTCACGGGCACCACTGAACTACACAGAAAGTTCCAGTGCAGCGGAAATCCACAACCTGGTAGAGGAAGTAGAAGCCTACACGGAGTCCGTCATCGAGACAAAACATATGTCGGACCATAAACTCACAGAGATTCAGGAAGCCACGACACAGGACAAGACTCTTCAGCTTGTCATGTCACTGACTAGGAATGGTTGGCCGGCGGCATACAGAGATGTGCCAATACCAGCACGAGCGTACTATCCAGTCAGAGGTGAACTGTCAGTATCCAGAAACATTCTACTGGACAGAGACAGGACTGTGATCCCGGAAGTGATGAGAACTGACATTCTTGATAGGATTCATGAGGGACACCAGGGACTGACTGTCGTGAACGTGCAGGATTGAGTGTGTGGTGGCCTGAACTCAACCAACACATTCAGGATAAAGTATCCTCCTGTACATTTTGCCAGATCAACCAATCAGCACAGAGAAAGGAGCCACTACAGCCAAGTTCCCTAACCGATCGACCGTGGCAGAGAGTTGCGGCCGATCTATGCACAATCAAGGGACACCAATACCTTGTAGTGATCGACTACTTTTCACGATATCTTGAAGTAGTGTATCTAATGGACACTACATCGAAAGGTGCGATTGGCCAGCTCCAGTGCATATTCTCAAGATGGGGTATACCAGAAGAGCTAGTTACAGACAACGGACGCAGTTCGTAGCTCATGTGTTTGTGCACTTCAAGAATCAGTATGGATTCAAACACACCACATCTTCACCCCATTTCCCACAAGCTATTGGGATGTCGAAGCCGGTTGAAAATAGCAAAACATGCTCTGAAGCAGACTGATCCATTTCTTGCTCTGTTAAGCTGCAGGAGCACTCCGATTCAGTCAACGGGGAAGAGTCCAGCACAGTTGATCATGGGAGACAACTTCGTGGGACCCTCCCGACGCTAGAGAAGGTGCTGCAGCCAAAGTGGCCAGATTTCCATGCTGTGCGAGCCAGTGATAAAATTCACAAGGAGTGTTCAAGGAAGTTCTTTGACCAACACCTCAATGTGAAATCCCTCCCAGGCAGTGACAAAGTTTGTCTCCAGATTGATCTGGAACTCCTGTTGTTAATAATGTGCCAACGCCAAGATCCTCCTGTCTCTGGAACAGCAGTGTTGACAACTCCTGAGTATAATGTGTACATTCTCTGGAACAGAGCGCCAACCTCGAACCAACTGTCCAAGTGTCGGTATGAGAAGCCAGCAGCAGTTACCAGTCCACCTGTGTCCAGGACATCCAGTGGCTGAGCCGTGAGGAAGCCACATGACTATGTTTAGGGCTTAAGTCATCACGAGATTAGGTTATCAGAATAACCAAGTATTCATATCAGTGACTTTAAAGTTTGCTTGTGCTTAGATGATAAGTCTGGAAGAATTTCCATTGGACTTTAAAATGAGCATTTGAATTTCAGTTAAAAGTTAACTGTTTAGCCATACAGAGGTAATTCGAGTTACTGTTAAATTTCAGTTAATCTTGTTGGTTAAAACCAAAGCAATAAGTAATGCTTACTCATCAGAGATATCTTATTGTTTGGTCTTGAGTTGATGTTAACCAAGGTAACAAGTTATCTCAAAGAAAGGGAGATGTTACAGTATCGTGCAATGATTACTCCCAAATGACAGTGGACAATAAGCGCTCCCTGAGACGCGCATGCGCAGTGTATCACCATCGCGTTCGAGCAGACATCGTTGGAATATAACTTGTTTGTTTACATTAAATCTATGAAACTTGACGCCTTGTCATTTCATAACAATATTACATTTTTAAACCCACAAACACTGGTTTCTGGCATGCCCATGGGACGCAACTGCACAGTCCATAAACTGACCAGTACATCTATGGCTCTGAGTATTTTGGGACTTCTCCTTCCACAAGTTCCTGGAATTAGGCGTTTAAACCAAAAGATCGCGGGTTTTGTATTTGTAGAAAGTTTAATTCAGTCTGAGAGTAAACATTGGAAACACGTTTCTACAAAACACATGCGGATTAAATCCCAACTGGAATGATTTACGGGCGGAAATCTTTCCAAATCTGGTGCAAATTCTGCATCAGACGTTAGGCCCACATTGTTCACACATTACTGACACTAACGTGACTGCACAAATTTAATACGTGACAATAACTGTCGATACACGTGCCTCAGTACCTTTCTCCATCAGTCATTCATCATTTCCCCGTGGTACAATGTCAGCATGTTTTTCCATATTGACAACTCAGCGACGAACCGTCAAGGGAAGTAACTCTAATCTTGTTATGAAAATGTGCCAACACATGCGCTGTGATAAACTCGGTTGTTTCACAACGCGACATACGGGTTCGTATCTGACAGTGTATGTGAGAAAATTTTATTTGCGTGGAGACATTAGTTCCAGTAAAATATATAAACGAACGAAACTTATAAATATACACATGCACATGATAAACCTTTGGGGTCTAAAGCCAATAAGAAAATGACATCTCTAAAAATACAATTTTTGTTTCTGTCAGTCCTGATAAACGTGCATCTGGCATGGCAATTTCAGTAGTGTCACACTTTGCGTAAATTATTCACAACTATCATAAACAAGAGAATTTTAATACCTTTGTCGAAAATGAAGGTGTAATTGGTGAATACTTTGTTCATGTTAGGAAAATCCATCTACAACAATTGTAACGCACATATGCTTGTCTTTCTGTATATATTTGTATGAATAACGAGTCATTGGGCCTTGGGTGAGTGAGTTTAGAGTTTTACGCCGCACTCAGCAATATTCCAGCTATATGGCGGCCATCTGGCCTTGATAACAATAAAGATGATGATGAAGTTCTGTAGTAGCGGTGTCCCTGGATACAATATCCCTGTATCATTTTTAGTCAAAATCAGCACGAAAAAGCAGGCGGCTTTAAAACTCGGATGAAGTCTGGGGTGTATAGAATACAAGCCTGTCCCAGAAGTAGCATCATCGGTGCTGTACAGAAACCAGAAACATACTTCGAGGACCAAGCTGAAAACGTTCATTATATTTTATTCTTTTAAACAGGGGAAAATGTACTTTGATATTGAAACTGTAGTCAAACACCCCATTATCGATATCCAACTTCTGTTCGTCTCGAAGTAAATGGTTGGCCCTTGCGTATCCCTTCCTTACAAAGCAATTCGCGGTTGTGTCGAACGTCGTTAACTCTAAGGTCCCAACAACTTCGACAAAACAACATGTGATTGTACGTAAGTGAGGTGTATTAATGTATCCCTATGTTTTATTCCCATGCAAAGCAGTAAATATAGGTATGAACAGTACATACAGTACCATATTCATATTCTGTTATGTTTTGGGGGCGGTGGGGTAGCCAAGTGGTTAAAGCATTCGCTCGTCACGCTAAAGACCGGGTTCGATTCCCCACAATGTGTGAAACCCATTGCTGCGGGTGGGTGGGTGGGGTGGGGTGGGGTGTGTGTGTGAGGTGAAATTGGGTTTAACGTCGTGCTTGAGAATATTTCGCTCATATGACGACGTGCATGCGTGTGTACGTGTATGTGCGGGTGCTTGTACTAGCCCAGACTTAAGCTGGTTTTATAGTGCTAGCCCACTGAGATACCATGCCGCAGTGAAGCATGAATAACCCACTCAGACACATTATACTGACCTTGTTGTACCCATTAATGCCGAGCGCCAGGCAGGGACCAACAAGTACCATATTTTAACGTCTTTTGGTATGACACGGTCGGGGATCGAACCCGCGACCTTCCGCTCTCCGGGCGGACGCTCTAACCACTACACCACGGAGGCGGTCCCCATTTCTGTCTGTCCCCCGTCGTGATGTTGCTGGACTATTGCTAAAAGCGGCGCCAATCTAAACTCACTCACTCCCATGTTGGCAGTGACGACGCTACCCATTGCGTTTCACAATAGCATCATGTTGTACTATACAGTACCGTAATATAACAAATATAGGAGCAGTATTATCAAAGATTACTTCATAGCCAAAATGTAAGGGAACACGGTAACATTTAGACAAACGCTTGTACATTTCACACCTTTCTTATGCATTTAAACGTTTGTCTTTCGGGTGTATGACCATGTTTTAATCATCTGTAAGGGGTAATCCCGTAAGTCAGACCTTAAGCAAATGTTTTACCTGAAAATATCAGTATGTCACAATGTTTTTTCTACATGAATGTATAATAATTTCTGATGGTAATATCTTGTTGTAATATGTATCCGTTTGGGGAGAGACATTAATATTGGGGAAACCCTGTTTGTCAATCCCACTGTACATGAATTACGTACGAGAATAAATATTGTTTAAACTAGATACCTATGTGTAAAATGGTTAAGATTTGCAAATAACGACCTGACATTGATGGAGTACCTGGACAATGCGTCCTAGTCTGTGAAGTTGTTGAGATCAGGCCCCGATTTCTCGAAACAAACTTAAGTTTTTACTTAAGTTAGAGTTTTTACTCAAATTTGAGAAAACGCAGAAAATGCATTTCCCAGAACGGACTGAGATCGATATCAAACTCAAACTTAATAGACAATTTGAGTTTGGTGGATAGATTACTTAAGTTGTTTGGGCTTTTTTATTATAAAAATGCAGTTGAGTTACAAATTCATCTGTTTCAAATTGTCAAACTCAGTTTGAAATTTGTGTAAAAACTTAAGTTTGTTTCGAGAAATCGGGGCCTGGATTGTATATCTGTTTTGCTGGTATGTTGTATTTTCACCAGAGTGAAGCAAAATTATTAAACGCTTTAACATATATGAATTGTATTTGTTTACTTTAAGTGACTGATCGATGATGTTTAAAAAAAGGTCATTTGTAGTCCTATAAACATTTAATGTAAATAATGTTAGATTATGTATTGTAGGCTATTTAACGACAGCTATCAACTTTACGTTAACAATGTGATAGATCAAGAATGTTAAAATAAAATGTTGCTTACTTTAGTGTTATAAACTTATTATGTATATATTATGTTTTATATATATGGATTATTTATCATGTAGATGATATAAATTACTGTCCCAATGAATGCACAAATAAACATGACATTTTACAGCGTGATCCTTGTTCAGTAATTTTCCGGTGAACATTTTAGCATTACCGTACCGTTGTAAAAACATGGAGTGACCATTTCCTGGAACCCCTGCAAACCGACCAGTTTGTTTTTACACCCATCTAAAGGTCGGACTTACGGGACCTAACCTCTGTACGGTATCATTAGAAGACGAAATTCTTTTGAGTACAAATAGTGATTGTACAGGACACCGTAACGGTATAGCTCTGTAAATATTGTTACTCCATTGGCTGAATACCAACTAGGTCACCATTGGTATACGACTACAGCCCACTCGGTCCCTAATATATTCATAGTTATTGATCTGTCTGTTACAGATATTATTCGTCTTATAACAAATCATCTTCTTTCGTCACTACAAAATATAAAACACAACTTTAGAGCAGTCCCTGAAGACACCCGCCTTCCTGGGATCGAACGTGGAAAGTACGCTATAAATAGATTAACGGACTTCGTTGACTCATTTCGACAGGATCTCGGACCCATTTGCGCTTGCGGCTCTACACGAAGGCGGTAGCTTGTCTTAACACGAAGAAGTATGACAGGTGAGTCTTACCCGCTCTCTGATTTTACCTTTCATAAAATCCTTGAATCTCATTGGTCAGTTCACAACATAATGATTATAACGATAATTCGTTAGTTACATGTTCCTGGAACAGGTGAAAATAAAAAAACCTCGGGTAAAACCAGGATTGAATTATTCCTGCAATGTCGATAGCTTAAATGAAATTTAATTGAATAAGAATACCTAAATCCTAAATCCCTTTCCATCCGAATTTCAAAGTCATAAACTTCTTTTCACGTACGTATTCTAGATTAAAAAAGGTAAATGTAGCCCAAATGGTGTTGAGAAATCCAGAAAACGATGACATTTTGAGTTATTTATAGACTGGGATTTTCCACAGCAGAAAAGAACTATTGCGCGCCTACACTTCTTGATACCGTTTGAGTACGTCAATCACTTGATCCTTTATTGTGTGGTACATGTGCAGTAAAATACTCTGCTTATACAATTACCTTATATACTAGTGCTAGGTAGCTAACCCCGTTGGATCTGCCAATGCGTACCCACTTGTATCTAAACCCATGGATGACACGACATGGCGTGTATTTTGCACACGGGTCCGCCAGGTCATTTTGTTAGGGTTACATATTTATATTTTGAATTTTGAATTTCCAGAAGAAAGGGATAGAGTAGTATATTTTTTAAAATGTGATTTTAGATTGGTACAAGTGAGTTATGTGAGATTATATGCAACCTTGGAGGCCTGTTTTTGATTAGAAATATACCTAAAGTGTTAAAGCTGCAACGTATGAGCAGTCCAAACAGCAACTGTGTAAACATCTCCGATCGACTTTCTAGTCTACTTTGATTAAATTCTGAAACAACAATATACCACCTCGGCTAACTGAGTCGATAAGAATGTTTGGAATGTTTTACGAATGAATAGTGCTGAAAACCTGTTGTCACAGTGCTGTTAAAATTATCATTAGAATAATACATCTTTTGTCGTTAAGTAAGGAATACACCGGTTAATGCAATCTGGTTTCGGGGAAAGAGTACACGGGTAGGTGTCATCTAATTTGGGTATGAGTGCTCCAAAACAGGTAACAGTCTGATAGGCAAGTAGGAAATCCCATAAATTAATCACACCTAGGCATTTTCGATAACAGACAAACATGTCTGCCAAAAGTATCCTTTTGGTCACATGACTCTCAAACAAACAACAACAAAAAACAACCCAAAACTGCAAAATCAACCATTTCATGATGCAAAATTTACGTCGGGTGAACCATTTTCACTGGGAACGAATCGTTTAGTATCCGTTCATACGCATGGCAAATATCTCTTGACCAATGTTTACTTCAGGCACTAACGAATGTTAAATGATGATCACTATATATATTTTGCATTTACGACATTAACGATTTTATGCTTTTAAGTGAAATCTACAGTGCATAGGATATGTTTGCTGTTTGCTTGTTTGTTGTTTAACGCCGCATTCAGCAATATTCCAGCTATATGGCGGTGGTCTGTAAATAATCGAGTCTTGATCAGACGATCCAGTGATCAACATCATGAGCATCGATCATCGTAATTGAGATACAATGACGTGAGTGAACTTAGCGAGCCTGACCACCCGACCACCCAATCCCGTTAGCCGCCTCTTACAATAAGCCTGGGTTGCTGAAGACCAATTCTAACCCGGATCTTCACGGGTAGCATCGGGTATGGACATGATGTAGATCTACTGCTTAGTGATATTTGCATTCACGTATTTATACGAATTCAACTCTCTTGTTTTACTCTGGTTTTAGACGACATACGAGTCAGCTTAGAGAGCGTTGACTGTATCTCATCAAAATGTTAAGGAGTCATGCAACCAAAAAATCTGCGCCAGCTTGTCCTGCCAGTTTTACTTCCCAAATTCTCCGCCGTCCGTCCCTATCAGAGTTTAGAGGAGTCTCCATTACCCCTAAACACGCCCGGTCAGGATCTACCGGGCCCACCCCGAGTTTCGAGGGGCGGGGCAAGCTGCGCGAAACCACCCTACAACCTGGAGTCTTCCATTACAACGGAAACAGGTGCTCGCCGGTGAGGTAATCTAGATTTGCCATGGCAACTTCGACACGTGACCCCGATAACACCGTGCCGAAAACAGGTAAAATGACACTCTTGATAAATTTTGTGAAATCAAGTCTCTTGTTTTATATACATTGAATGAAGGACTAGTCGTGTTGAAATTAAGAATAATTAGACAAATTCTATCTCTGATCATGATCTCCACTGATGCCATCAACCCACAAGGAATATATTGAATGACTTAGATCACGTTTCATTAACACTTTTATAAATTACATTTTGAAATAATGTTGTCACATTAACTGTATCTTCAAGCGTTGCTGTCAGGTTCCTATTATGTGAAGGACTATTGACCGTCAGTGAAGAAGAATACCCAATGCTGACCATCCTCAGAAACAAATTCCCCTTGGTGTGAAGGAAAAAATTGACGTGATGATTATATCAATGCATCACTTAAAATCATGAAGACACCCGCTATTTACAAAATTTGCAGACCCATGAAGATCCGGGTCTTCAGTAAATCATGCTTGTCGCAAGAGGCGATTAACGGGATCGGGTGGTCAGGCTCGCTGACTTGGTTTACACATGTCAACGTATCCCAGTTGCGTAGATCGATGCCCATGCTGTTGATCACTGGATTGTGTGGTCCAGGCTCGATTATTTACAGACCGCCGCCATATAGCTGGAATATTGTTGAGAGCGGCGTTAAACAACAAACCACAAAATGTGCCAATATATTAAAGTTTATTTGCTATCTGACGCTTCACATCAGTGCTCGTGCAAAGCGAGGGCGGCTTGTAACAAACCAGACAATCCAGTGATCGATGCACCGGAAAATGAACAAAACACTAAGGTTATAATGTTGTATGATATTTTCAGAGTTGGAGATTAAGACCTTCCTGATGAATAGCCCAGATGACGACGATATTGTGCCGGACTTCATCCAGTCCATGTCAGACCACAGTCACGGCAGCATCCACGTGCAGCCTGCGTTTGGGGAACTGGCGCCGACACGGAGAATACGGTCTGGTATCCCGGAGTACATCTTGGACTCCATTAAAACGGTAGGGCATCATAGAAATATTTACATGAAATTTTGTGCACAGTGGAATATCGCACTGCTCATGATATTGATCACCGGTTTGTGTGTTGTTTAACGCTGCACTCAGCCATACTCCGGCTATTTGACGGTTATCTATAAATAACCAAGTCTTGGCCAGACAATCCAGTGATCAACAGCATGAGCATCGATCTACGCAACTGCACTCAGCCATACTCCGGCTATTTGACGACTATCTATAAATAACCAAGTCTTGGCCAGACAATGTGCCAGCATGAGCAATCGCAGCTGCATCAACAGCATTTGACGATTATCTATATATCTACGCAATTGGATACGATGACATGCGATACAAACAAACAAATCAGCGAACCTGAACATCTGATCCCGTTAGTCGCCTCTTACGTCAAGCATGGATTGCTGACGACCAATTTTAGCCCCGAGGGTAGGACAGAAATCACAGAAATATTTACATGTAGCTTCATGATCATTTGAAAATATTGTGAATAATAGATTATCGCAGTGCTCAGGATACTGATCACTGGATTGTCTGCTCCAGTTTCGAGCAGCTGCGCAGCGTCGGGCGACACACGATAACAGCACCAAAACACATTGCCAAAATCATATTAAATTCCTACTAAAACACAGTCTTTTGTGTGATTTCGACAGGTACATAATATGCAAAAACCATGCTTATCCTTCTCGCTGACCCCGTGTCATCTCTGATGATACTTCAGAAAGCATTTCTTTGCAGACCGACTACACCATACTTCTGGTGGGACCAAACTTCTTGGCAGGGGTTGGGAGGGGACACCAGAACATGGATAGTCCTTCCATGACTGACAACGAACATCTTGGAGTTCGTTTTGGATATACACAGATCCTTAACAGGAGCTTTCTAAATGGTGTGGACAACTCAAAGATCTTCCCAGTTCTTGTGAAAGGAGCCGACAGGAGGCACCTGCCGTCGTGGCTGGAGACGGGAGAGTTCTACACCAACAGCACCGAGAAATACGGTGTTGGGTGTATGGTGAGAAGGATGCTGGCGCAGTACAGGGAGGAGCGTAGAGGCCAGAGCATCTGATGCTCCCTCATCACAGGGAGAACTTGAGTGAGTGAGTGAGGGCGGGCGGGTGTTAGTGCTGGTATTCGAATACAACCTGCGATACGATACATCACGATACTAAAATGTTAATCACGACGATATATTGCCAAAGTATTGGCACTGAAGCTGCGATACGATACGAATCCTGATACAAGGGTGTCGTGATACGGTAAGTATCACGACACTCAAGTCTTTAATTCTAACACCAACTATAAACACCTCAAGATCAAAACATAACCATTTAAAAGTATTTCGTCAAATTCCGCCAGCGTTTTATAATGTTCATTCGGAAATAAGATAATTAAGTTTATACACGGACTTTCTGAATGTTAAAGTTGACAAAATGCGAGCGCTATGTTAGACACAGTTCCGGACGCAAGAATTTTCGAGAAACTTATGAAGGGAAAATAAGTATGCATATATTTGAATCATCAAACAAAAGTAAGTCTTTCTTGACAGATATCGCGATTCGGCAATATTCAAAGTAAAACATCGATCAATGTATCGTGGCCCATTTGAAGTATCGAATCGAGATATACGACAATGTAAAACTTTGTATGGATTTACTGGCGGCCCATGGATCAATGCATCGATGCGTATCGATGAATCGTCAAACAACTAGTGGGTGGGTGGGTAGGTGGGTGGATGAGTGAGTGAGTGAATGGGTGTCTGGGTGGTTGGGGGTTGAGGGAGGGAGGTTTTACGCCCCTTTAGGTAATATTCCGGCAATATCGCGACTGGGGACACCAGAAACGGGCTTCACACATCGTGCCCATGTGTCGAATCCAACCCGGGTTTTCGGTGTGACGAGCGAACGCATTAATCACCTGGCTACCCCACTACCCGGAAGAACTTGTAATTCACATCTTTCTCCTTGAGCAGATTGTAGAGATATCACAAGCAGGTCATGTGATACTCTGGCCTCATCCTCAACACTGTGCAGCTGGACACCCGTGTCTGTGACTCTCCATTAGATCATGTGCTGTACAGTTCAGGGGCTCGTCTGTACAGTGCAGTCAGATGGATTTGTGTGGTATATCCGCAATAAAGACAAAGGGGAGGTAACTGTTTCATGCGTGCAAGCGAGTGTGTACGCTGGAAAACGGTTTGCGATCTTAACACAACGAAGATTGTCATAATGCAAACAAGAATATATATCGCGGCGGGGGACACCATATATGGGTTATATATATTATGGCTTGTGATATGACAGATACAACAGTTTTTATTCTAACTAAATGAAGAAGAATGCAGCCTGGTTCCCGGGGTCTGCAGCGCTCCACTCGGCTGAGAAAAATGGGAGTTATATGCCATATGGACTAAACTTTATGACGTGTGTGAAATTTGTTTTATGTACTATGTTGCTATTTGTTTGAATTGCTTTGAATATATTTTGCCATATAACTGTCATTTGTTGTTGTAATTGAACACTCCTAGTTCTTAGTCAAAGGGAGAACGAATCGTCGTTTTATTCGCATCGGAATCTTTTCAAGCTTGTATGACCACCGTTTCCAATATGCTGATTATTGATGGGCATGATTAGATTTTGTATCCAATGGAATTCATGTAACAAATATACCATACGTAGACGCGTTTCAGTCTTTGAGCCAGTTGACATTGTTCGAAAAAGAATTGACTTGATCCAACATGAACCATCGGGCTGAATCTTCGCACCCCTCTCCTCGTCTCTTGTCGAAGGTCCGGGTTAGAATTGGTCTTAAGGAACCCATGCTTGTCGCAAGAGGCGACTAACGGGATCGGGTGGTCAGGTTCGCTGACTTGGTTTACACATGTCATCGGTTCCCAATTGCGTAGATCGATGCTCATGATGTTAATCACTGGATTGTGTCGTCCAGACTCGACTATTTAAAGACCGACGCCATATAGTCGTAATATTGTTGCGCGACGTAAATAGGTAGGTTGTATACATTCTTCCTCTGTGTTGTAATGGTTATGGTTAATTTCCTTGCCACACATGCCAATAGTTTTCAATATTGCACCTACTTCTGAAACTGTTTGCATTTTTACACATCTGAGCTCTTCAAAGAAAATAAACGCATTTAAACAAATGAAGAGTGGTTTGACGAACATTCTGCGGCAAACAGTCATTTCATTGAGATGTTAGATTTAGAGATGAATAAACGCAAACTAAACTACAGGTAGTTTTCTGTTACATACAATGGCCGTTTTCTCTCGGCTTAGAGACCGCTTTCTCTTGGAGCGGTGGCCGTTTTCTCGATTTCTTTTGTGGTCGTTTTCGCTGGGATCCGTTTTCGCTATAATCCCTTCTAATGATGTCAGTCACTGGATTGTCTGGTCTGGACTCGATTATTTACAGACCGCCGTAATACAGCAGAAAACCGTTGTGTGTGGCGTCAAGGCAACCAATCATAATTTTGGGAAATGAAGTAAAAAATGTTAAAGATTATTGAAGAAGTTCTAAATTTTGTCACAATATCAAAGACACGTTTTTCTTGTTTTCACTAATGCAAATCAGCAGAAAATGTTTTATAAGAAATCATAGGAATGATTATTTTACAATTTTACTCACTCTACAACAGTTGTTTCTTGTTTTAATAGTTTAAATATGGTGACTTTAAATGGTATATCTTTGTCCCAAAGCATAATCTTATTTCATCTTTCTTTTTGGACATCTTAATCACTGCTATTGGTTTATTTCGGCATGGACGAAAAAAGGACAATTTAACTCTTCTGAAAAATATGCATTTCACCTAAATATGAATGCATTTGAGAATTTTTTCGTGATTTGCATAACGCTGGGTGATTGAGCTTTCTTGTAAACTAATACCTTCTAACATATCTTTGATAGTTTTTAATTCATTCATAAAGGTGGGAGGGTAACGTTTCTTTTGGCGTGTAGTGTATATATTTTATTAAAGAAAATTAGTTGCTTTCTAAAAGGCGTGCCAATACTGCCACAAAAGGTGAAAACTGTCGCCGACAGCTGTTTGGAATTACGCCCGGCTCCTTCTGTCACCTGAGACTGACTGCACGATACAAGGTATGAATATAGGTACACACATGGAAGAATAAATAGTTTATTTTATTTAAAGAAACCGGATATCCATGTCAGAAACCAGAAAGCAAGCCATTTTAGGGCAATAACATAAAATGCGAATTGCACTTTTCAGTAAAAACATGTTTTGTCACATTTATCTTCACTGCAAGTGATATTCCTTACCTGCGGAATGGCTTGTTTTCTCTTACCAACGCATCAAACACACACAACTGATTTAAAGTGTATTGAGATGAGTTTATTGACAGTATGAATGGCCCATTATACAGGTGTAAGATACAGCTTAAAACATAATGAAGCGCCTGTAATATACTTTACACATATGACTGTAAAAAATGTGACCGTAATCTAAATCCTAGGAATACATACTTTGCAAGCAGTGATAATACATGGGTATTTGTAGATGCAATCAATTGTTGAAATTTTCCTAGTGAAGGAAATGTATAGTAATATGCAGGAATGAAAGAGCGTCTAAGACCATCATAAAATGGACACACTAAACCAAAGTGATATTCTGATTCTATGTTCCTGGAGGCCATACCCTGTCTTCTCTATTTAAACCCATTTTCAACTTTCTTCTATTAATAACTTATGACTAGAGCAGCATAGAAACTCATTTCAAGTAATAAATTAATAAAGTTGTGTTTCAAGTGACGATGACTAGACGTGGTTTGTCACCATCAACACCCATCAACCTGACACACCAATAACCTGAACTGCAGTCCTCTCGCATCAAGTTGATCTGACTGAATTACTGGTCAAACAGCAACAACCCAATCTCGCTCCCTGACATCCTCGGGGATGAAATAACGGGGTGGCCAGTCAGGAGGGTCATGAACAGTCCACTGTAAAAGAAGGATATGTAACAATTAGTGACATGTAGTGTACTACAAAACCCAAGAAAGAACAAGCATTGTAAATGAGGGCAGCATTTTTATTTTTTGTAATTCTCGTCGCCCGACCGACCCTTCTAATTTTCATTGCCGACTTTAAAACCCTATAAAAGCTTGTTTTCGTCGTGATTTCAAACACCGCCGACTCGAACCTAAAACGTAACGCATCGTCATATGAAATATCTGCCATTGAAATTAAATCAGACACTGCCACAAGCCTAAAGGATGCGAGACATTGTAATAAAAATTACGATAAATGAGAATCAAGAACCTTATTTAGATAATTTTGTCTTTATTAATTTTTTTCCTCGACCGACCGACCCATGTTCAGAATTTGGTGGCTACGTGAAACGCATACAAAAATGATGCCCTGACGGTAACTGTATTTATCATCAATGTATAACGTTTCTGGTCACTATGTGGGTGAAAAACTTACGATTTGATTTCTTACGATTTCACTCACTCGCTCATTTCTGGTGACCCCCGCCGTGATATTGCCGGAATATTGCTATGTAAAGCGGCTCACGATTTCACTCCTCGCCACCCACGCAACCCACCCACCCGCCCACCAGTCCACCCACCCCTTGCTCCAATGCAACATCGTCACTGTGTCATCTGCACTGAATGTACTTGGACTTTACATCACACCGGCTTGTAGTAAGAGAGTATGATTTTACGAAGGTTTTAGCCATATTGCAGCACTGTCATGGCGGGGGACACCAGAAATGGTCAATCTGTGAATCTTTGTGGTGTCACTAATTCAATCCAGTCAGTGATCAAAAACATGAGCATCGATCTATGCATTGGGAGACGATGACCTGCGTCACCGGAAGTGGGTTTCACGCATTGTACCGGTGTGTGTGTGTGTGTGTGTGTGTGTGTGTGTGTGTGTCTGTCTGTCTGTCTGTCTGTCTGTCTGTCTCGACCCCCACCTCCCCTTCGCCGATTTGTACCGCATGGTGTCAGGTCTTGTCGGTCATTCGGCACACCTAGTTCAACCTTTGCATGGACGTGAATTGTATTCTTATTTCCTGAGAGCAGGATGCATCTGTCCTGAATGAAACTTGCGTGCAGAGGTAAGAACGGCGTCGTGTATTCAAGGGACTGTGCCACTTTGTGGCGGTGGCGGTGGTGGTCGACAGATGACACAGATTTTGTCATTGGCGGTATATACGATAACCAGCATTGAATTGCATCCTGCAGCCCAACTTCAGAATTTTGTTTCATGTAACATAGTAAGACATTACAAAACTCGTGATGTACAATAGTTACTTGACCACAACGCCATTACGTGACCAACCATTTCGTCAGACACATTTTTATATATCATCCGTGGATTCATCTTGACAAGAATACCCGACGCCATTGTAGACTGTAAAGGAATTATATGGGTCAAGCATGGAACATCCTCATGACGTCTGTGGAACCCAGTGGTCTTTACCGTGTTGATACTTGTACTTGTATACTCGAGCCTATTATTGTGTCACTGTTATAAATTTAGTGACGATTATGATCTTGTGACCTCACATGTCCTGAGGATATTCTCGCCGATGTTACTCATAACACCGAGTGAGATCTGTCATGATACTTGATGGTTCATGGCGTCTTTGCGAGTATATCTCGACAAATTGTCATGACCCGTAAAGAGGCGACTAACGGGATCAGATGGTCAGGCTCGCTGACTTGGCAGACACATGTCGTCATATCCGAGTTTCCTAGGCGATTAA